AAAACGCTTATTATCAGCATCCATTAGTTTCTTAGAAGGTATTTGTCCTTTAATTCCAAAACTTTCTAAAACAGATTTTAATCCTTCCCCACCATCATTAAAATGAAGAACTGCAGAATTTATTGCCAATTCAAACGTTCTTTTGGATAAGAATACATTTTTAGGACAGCGAGTCCATATTATTGCGTTAAATGCTTCATTTGCATTTTGTGTTTGTCCGTGGAGGCATTTGGTTAAAAGTTTATCATCAGATAAATCTTGAAAAATTGGTTTCAGCTTCAAATAGATCCATATTGGTAAATTAATTTTATCTTTATGAAACTTAGTACCATTTAGTTGATCAAGTTGCCACTTACACCAAGAATTTTTATCTCTGGGACACATAGCATGGCGACACGCAGGATCTTTAAGTGCAGTGCAATGGTAGAGAATGGCTCCTATAGCTTTCTTCATTGCGTATACATTATCAGAATTTCTCCGAATAGCAAGACCGTAGTAGTTTTGCATGGAATTAATAATAGTATCTGTAAGTTTTCCTTTACCATGTATTGGAGTTTTTATCCCTTTAAAGTTTTTCACTAACATTTGAACTCTAGTACCACGTCGCTTTTGTACATGCCCAAAACACTCCAATTTCTTAATGTTAACTCTGTTCTCTTTGTAAGGATTACATTCAACAACTTCTTTAAAAGAAGAAGTATCTCCATCTCCTAAATATTAGGAATAAATTATATCGTTTTTTTGGATAGAACGTACAAAAATTTGAATAGCACCGGCAGCTTCCATGGTACCAGAAGATTTAGTATGGTTTATAAGACAACTATGATTTACTTTCCATCTATCATGTTCAGGTGTACCTTCCTTGGATCTCCACATTGTACAACCTTTACAATGTCTTGAGAAAGCCTGATAATCTAAAACTTTATCACCAACAACAACTATAACTACATCATTCAATGATGCATGAGGACCTCTCTTCTGCCAAGAACCATCTATTGTAACGCGTTTGCAGACTGGCTGACTATTTGCTTGAGAAAATGCACTGGCAGCTCTTTTCATTGATACTCCAGCTGATTTAGCATATGCAGTAAAAACACAGTTGTCATTTAAGCTGTCAAAAACTGATTCACCAATACCATACATGTTAAAACAGTTAGTAAACATTTTCAATGCTGCCTTTCCCCGACCAATCTCACGAAAACTAATGACTGCTTGAACATTTGACTCATACAACTCGTGGCACTCTTTACATGTGAAACAGGAGTTAATCCAACCACAGCTCAAACATTTTAACACTAATAAATGACCAAATCCCATTCTTTTTTTCAGGTTATCAATAAATTCTATCGGTTGTTTGTTATCACATTTAGGACAATACAGAATTGGCAGAATTAACTTTTTCATTCGCTCAATATCCATAAACATAAAATATTTACTATCATCGTTATTAATAGATTCAGTAACAAAACCTGTAGTTTTTAGTTTTGCACATTCAGTTTCTAAATCTGCTTTAGTTTTGTTGTTGTTAAAGCTTTTTTCTTTGGTTTCAACGATGTGGCGATTCTTTGGTGGTATTTTTTTCCTTTTTCTTTGCAAATTTTGTTTTGTTAAAATCATTTTTACTAAAATCTAAATAATAAAAAATTCAAATAACAGACTTCAAAACAAAAAAAAAACTTGCCTTTGATAAGCAATTCATATCACCAGACACAAGTCATGCTTATACTTTTAACTTAAAACAGTGTTTTAGTTTTTGAAGTATAGCCAATAGCCACTTTATAGCTTTAAAGTATAGTCATAAAAATGTTTCAAAAATAGTATTCTGATGCATCTTTTAGGCATTTACATGTTGCTAGGGCGTTGCTAGGGAAAAGTAACAGCAACCAATTTACAATTATATCAATATATTGACAATCATATTAAAAAAACTTATTCATGTTATACATTTTTAAAAAGGTATTAAAATTCTTCATTAAATATAATAAAAATATTTTTTTTGAAAATTTTATCAAAAATCAACATTCATTTCTAGGGTTACCACCTTAATAAAAAAGTTATAGTCAAATTTGTTTACTTTTAATTTTTGACTCTTTGGAAGAATTTATTATACTATAATATAGCTATATACGTTTTTTTTATAACCACCTCTCCTGCTTTCCAGATATATTATTTGCACAAACGAGCAGTAAGCCAGGTGGTGGACAAAAGTTAAAATTATACATTTTCAAAAATTACATTATTACATACCATTTTATAGCTTAAACAATCAGCTTTTATAAAATGTATATATTTTTGTATAATTATCATGACGTCATGCTTCTAAACTGTAGAATAAAAAGTTCCAAATTTCTTTTTTAATTTGAGAATATTTTTTGTTTTACTAATAAGCATGGAATAGATGTTAATTTTAAAACCTTTTTTTTCTTGCATAATTTAATAAAATCTTTTGAATGAGCTATTCCAACATTATTTAGCAGGTAAGTTATGTCAAATAAAATGATTTCAAATGACGTCGTATTTGAAGTGTTTTTTTTTTAGATAAAATTTCACTTATATAGTTGAATACTTTTACGGTCCCAAGCGATCCAGTAATTTGAGACTTGAAATACATTGTTCAATATCTATATTATCGATATAAAGTTGGTTTGTAATCCGCGGATGTCCGCCTGGTCTCTAATAATAATTTTCACAAGTTAATTAATGTATCCGATTTTATGTGACGAAAACATATGTATTTTATTGTAAATGGTTATAAATAATTAGATCTAAGCTTAGATTAGATTAGTGTTAAAAACTTGTTTTGATATTAATACATCTTAATACAATGACTACAAAATGAACCAATACCAGTTCAATTTGTAATTAATAATAAAAAAAGTTCTACTAAATGCTCCCATTGATAAAGAAAACTCTGGTCTTATCCTACTGTAGTATCTAGGCCCCAGGTTAATTTTGATGCTTTAAGTAGTTAAACAAAGAAAAGCATATTGACGTCATTAGTTAAATCATATTCATCTTAAAAACTATTGTTTGCATAAGGTTGTAGTTAGCGCCAAGATGGTAAAGAAAAAGAGGCTAAAGCTGCTGTAAAATTATCAGAATATGTGAGTTTTGGTTCGAAAAATAATTTTAAATTAAAATTTTTATATTATTAAATATACAAAAAGGTTTAAGCTCTACGTATGTACGTACATAAGCTTTATGTACCTTTTTATATGGATTATGTATTAGTTTCCTGAAATATAAAAGAGCCCTGGATCTGCATAAAAATACTTAAAATTAGTAATTAGAAGAATGTTAAAATTTTAAATGCAATAAATAGTTCTTAATCAGCAGCCGTATTCTCATCTCTCTGTTAAGCTTAACGGAGCGTTTGTCAAAAATTTTATTACAACATCTTTATGTAAAGAAATGACAAAAACTTTATTTAAGTTTGTTTAATTAAAACAAATGCTAAAATAAAACAATTTTATTTAAAAATTTATATTTTTAAAGAATTTTTTAAATTAATGTAGTGAAAAAGAACTTTTTAACAAATGCTCCGTTAAGCTTAACGGAGAGATGAGAATACGGCCACAGACTGCCACTTTAATATTAGTCTAGTTTATAACATTGATGCTTTTAGAAAAGTTAGTAAGTAATTATGCAAAATTAAACGTTGCCAGGCATTTCAGGTGTCACTATCAATTAAATAAAAAATCTATTGTACCACTTAACATTACACACTACATTTGTACGCATTGTACCACTGCATTACACACTTCATTTGTACACATAGTACCACTACATTACACACTAGATTTGTACACGTAGTATCACTGCATTGCACACTATATTTGTACACATAGTACCACTACATTACACACTACATTTGTACACATAGTACCACTACATTACATACTACATTTGTTCACATAGTACCACTGCATTACACACTACATTTGTACACATAGTACCACTACATTACACACTACATTTGTACACGTAGTACTACTGCATTTGTAGTATAAAAATACTCAATGAGTTTGTTATGGGAGTAATCCAAAAAAAGTTATTACTTTTTCAAGTTTTATTTTTTCTATTTATGTTTGTTATGGGTAATAAAATATGTGGTTGCTGAGATATATAGGTGACTGTAGCAACCCAAAATTAAAACTAATGTCACCATTAAAGCCGTAATCCTCAAATTAGTAAACAGTTTAAAAGTGGCTCTTAAATCTTTTTTATATGACAAGTGCTTAGTTTTGTCCAGTAAAAATGAATTCTGGTTCATTGTGTTACTTAAAAAAATTTAAGAAATGTTTGGAAATACTTTTTTAGAAGTTTAATAAAAATTTTAATGGTTTTTGTAAAAATTCTTTTAGTTTTGATTTTCACTCAAAACAATTTATAACTAGAATAATATGTAAGTTAAAATAAAATTATGGACTCTAATTCTGTAACTTTTGAAATTAGTTTTATTTATTAGTTTAAATTTTTTTTAAATTGCCAAAGTTTTTAGTTTTTCAAGTAGAATATTGTGATCTTGAGCAAATTAGAAACTTATAGAATTTTTGCTTATAATTTCAGTAGTTCAAATCTTACTCAATTAAAAAAAAAAAAAAAAAATACTAAAACAAAAGTTTAAATAAAATTTTATATAGCAAATCTTTAAATAAGCAAAAAGTTATACAAATAAAATTTATATATAAAATTCTAAGTGACAATCTAGGAACGCCAATTGTGTTCCGTTGGAAAAATAGATAATCTTAGATTGTTTAGTCTGGTAATGATAAAACCACTTTCCAGTGGGCATCGAACCAAAATAAGACGTCCAAAACGTTCAAAAGACGTCTAAAACGTGTTTAAAACGTTTAAAAGACGTCTTTTTTACGTCCGTGTCCACTGGGTTTTTTAAAATGTTTACAATAAATAAGATAGTTATGTAGATTTACAACAATTGATTTCAAAAATAAATAAAAAAAAGTTAATTAAAAGATAATTATTAAAAACTCATTGCGTTAAAGTGAACATTCATACTATATATAAACATTAGAAAAGTAATGAATAACAAAAGAAGTTTACTAGAGTTTCCAAGTGATCCTAAAAACAACTTTTTTATTTCAGAAGATTTTCGATCAAAGATTTCTTGAAAAAAATATGGAAATTGTTCATGAGTTTATAAGCAGTTTGTGAATCCATTATCAAAGAAAGCATTATTCGCAATGCACAACTGATCACTTTCTTTACAGTAAAAGGCTTCACTTTTTATTGTGAAAGAAACTTCAACACCTGCATCCAACCGGACACCTTTGTTTTCATTTCCACAACGTCGAATACCGTGAAGATTTTTATTTGTGTTCCATGTATACCATTTTTCAAGTACGTTGGATCCAATTATGAAATTAACTCCTTTTTTATCGATTCCTTCTACAGTTGACGGACCACAACTGAAAGCTAAATAATTAATGCAGACATTTCCAAGATATTCAAACGACACCCATTTGAGAGGATTATTGTTTATCTGAAAAGTGATAAGTTTTATAAAAGAATGTTATGATTTTTTAAACTAAAATCAGATGTAAAACTTTTTTTTTTTACCTGTAAAATGTCGTATTTGTATTGAAAGCCACTTTTAGATTTTCCACCTTGTAGACTGTTTTTATGCCATTCTGCACTCCAAGATCTTGTACACATTTTAACTGATGCTGGAGATGATGTTTCAATTTGAATGATTGCACTTGTTATACACTGAAATGGCTTCACAGATATTTTGGCTCCAATTAATTCTAATACTTTATAAGCCGACTTTCCAACAAGAAGTGTAGATGGCACGTCGATTAAAGTATTTAAGTTCTCAGCTTCTTTTTTGGCAAGCGCTCGCCTGATATGCGTGGTGTTTGATGAAATCACCACACCTACTGCTGCCAGCATCATTAAAGAATGAAATAGAATCATTTTTACAGAGAACTGAAAGATATTAAAAAGATTCACTTTTATAGCATTAAAACGGATTGACGTAGTTAACTACAAATTTAAAATAAGAGTAAAAGTTTTATTTGTCTACAACCTCATATTATAGTTCCAATAATTATTTTATTATTAGTTTATTTTACACAGCCGTTTTCAAAACCAATTGCATACAAATAATAATTATATAAACATTATTTTATTATTAACTGCTTTTAACATAATAATTATATAAATTAAAACTATATCAAGGTTAGTAATTTAAGTTGATAGGTATTAGGTCGGGTGAATAAAAAAAGCAAATTCTTTAATCAGCAATTTTGGGTTATATGTTTAGCTTTACGTGAATAAAAGTTTTAGCAAACTCGGTCAAATATTTATTTACGAAAAGCTATTTAATCCAAAAAAGGTGAGTAATTGTTCAACTTTACGTGAATAAAAGTTAGATAAAAACTTCAAAAGTTTTTATTCACGTAAAGCTGACTAATTACTGAGTAAAATCAATTTTTTTTTTACTCAAGTAAATTTGTCACAAAATAAGTTGCATTTTCATATAAATAAAATTTTCCGATCAAAAACTTGAAACGAATAAATACAATATAAAGAGAAAAACTCTTTAATGTTGAACAAATAATCTTATGCCATCATTTCTAAAAATATTAAAAGAATATTAATACTTATTTAAAATGGTTAGATAAAAAAGACGAATTAAGTTGTCTCAGTATATGAACATATTTTATGCATAACAAAAATCTTATATCTTCATAGATTCTATGAGCCAAAAATACCTCTTGTCATCAATCAACTAAACTTTTCTTGAGCGGGATCTGTTCACTTTATTTAAGACTATTTCCCTGACAATCAACTTAAAGAATTACTTAAATATATTTAAAATTAAGAAAGAAAATACATATACAAAATAATACATTTTTCATACTTGTACACTAAAGGCAACGATAGAACATTAGTAAAGGCGTCAAAACAAAAACAAAAAAAGAATTTTCCTAAAAAGGAATGTTTGTGATGGTTTTAAATCTTCTTTAACCATCCAGTATGTTAAGTTGTTAAGATATTAAGAAATCGCACTTTTTTAAGGCGTTGATAAAAGCAATCGTTACAAACTAAATCTTTCTAGATTAAAGTTAAATTTATGATATTTTAATTTTGTTTCCTAACTATACTTTAAAATTTACTGAACAATTGTGTAAATAAAAGAAACAAAAATGTATATATACATATAAATATTATCTTTTTTTTAAGCAACATAAGTATTAGTTTTTAAGTTTTAAAACTCCTGGACAGTGAAGATACATTGAGCCCATTTGTTTTGCTATTATTCGTTGGCTTCTTCGTAATTGCCCACAATACGCTCCCGGTACTACAACTCCCCAAATGTTTACAACGCAATCTCTGTGTAAAAAAAAGTTGATTAAAAGAAAAAAGTAGTGAAAAAAAGTATTTATTTACATGTATACGAGCAAGATTAAAAACTTATAATAAAAATAAATAATAAAAGTAAGTATATCACATAACAATTAAATATAAAAAATACTTCACATCAATAAACAAACTCTTAAATATCAAATGGCTTAAGATAAGTAAACATTTTAAAAATGTTATACCTTAATTTATTGCTGGCATGGGAGTTCATGAGTTGAGGACTGTTTTTCAAGCAACACAAAAACATTTCTTGCGAACAATTAGCGATTATACTGTCGAGTCTTTTGTACTTTTTGGGTGTGGTGTTTTTTTTATGAGTATCTCCATTAAGGTGTTGTCTACAATTAGAATAGTAAACATCACAGATTTCACAATACCCATTTTTTCTTTCAGATGATAGCTTTTTGCGTTTACTTAAAAAAGAAGACCAATTATCATTTGATGTCATCTTTATGCAAGCACTACGCGTTCCGTTTTTCTGAAACGGTGACTCGTGCAAAAATGTATTATAATTTATTTCAGGTTTTGATAAAAACTGTTTATATATTGGTCGGAAGTTTCTAAATTTAGTGAATATTCAAAAATATAGAAAGGTTATGTGCTAACAAATATATGCATTACTATTAAACAATGAATAGGTTATGTATATATAACTCAATATTAATTAACAGTTAATTAGTATTAATTTTAATTTAAAACGTTTTGTTAAATCTAGATAGAAGATATACAAAATTAAAAAATATTAAACTAAACAAGTGCAAAAAAAAATGTTTAAAGCGCTGCTGGAAACCAGAATTGTTTTTGTTCCTCATTTTTATAATTATAAGAAATTTATTTGTTTATTATCATGTTTATAAATTGTAATGTAGTACAAGCTTTATATATAACAATCTGTTATGAAAATATATTTTTAAATGTTTATGCGACACAGTTATTACACATAGATGACCAATATAACCATCCATTTATATAGACCTGGGGGATATGATAGTAAAAACAGATATAGCCATTGAATAAAAATATTTTTATTCAAGAATATTTGTCTTGCAGAAATAGAAAATTTTTTTTAAAATCCGAACTTAGTGCTAAGTGTCATAACTAGGGCAATAGGATAACATTGATTTAAACCCATTTAAGCATTTTAGATGCACGTTTGAAAAAAATTTTGGTTCAGAGTATTTCTATTAAAAATTGTGAATCGAAAAAAAATAAAAAAGGTCAGAAATGAGGTAAAGGGTAAAATTGAGAAGGCCTAAACCCAACAAGCATTTTAGGTGCCCATTACATAAAAAAATATATAAATTTAAGATAATTTAAACAAAGTTTAAAACAACAAAAACCTTAAAAACATTTACAATAATAATGAAGATGTTGTACATAATAAAACATTAGTTGAATTATTTTTAACCTTCAGTATGTAAAAATTTATGCTAAATTAAACTCTATTTGTATTAAAAGTAGTCGCAGAGTTGCTTCAATTTTTGTTGGATTATGTACCACATATACATTGTTTTAGCAAATATTTTTATTATTTTTTGTTTATAAATATTATACTTTTTTGTTGTTTTAAACTATTTTTTTAAATTGTTTGAAAACTTTTTTTATTTATTTTTTTATGTAATTGGCACCTAAATTCTTATTTGGGCTTAAACCCCTCAATTTTACCCTTTGCCTTATTTTTGACTTTTATTACCCTCAAATTTTACCCTTTGCCGCGTTTATGAACCGGTTTTTTCCGGTTATAAACACTTTTTTATAGAAAAAACACATATAATTAAAGGTTTGGCCAAAAGTGACAACAAACAAACTTTTGATTTTTTATATTAAAGACTGTTATGTCTACAGGTGTAGTCGTGTATAAGTTTTCTGGTATGGTCTCGTTATTTTTTTATATATACATATAACAATCAATTATTACATAAATTTTCAGTAAAAAAAATTAATATAAAAAAACAACCTTGATAAATCCTCAACTTTAATAAAAAATCCTTTTAACGAAGAAAATTTATGACGTTTTGATGTAACATCAAAAGATTTAGACCAACTTTTATTTTGTGCTTTTTCAATATCTAAAAGCCAGAATAGAACTTTATTTAGTGGCTGAACATTTAGCTTCAACCTTCGTGCTCTTTGGACAGTAGATTCTTTAGGATTTGGTGTAATTTTTGACATCATTTTGTAGGCTCTTGTTTGAATCTGAAAAGAAAAGTTATTTAAAAATTCCATTTTACGCGAAAATTCTTTACTTTTAAAAATATTTTAATATAGGGTTGGGAAAAATTTGTATGCCCAGATATTTGCCAATAAATTGTGCGCATATATTCGCTTGTTTATGCGCATATTTATGCGCATAACTTTTTTTTTCAATTTCAAATCGTTAAAAACCGTTAAATTGTTTTGACTAGACAGACAAAAAAACGAATTTTAATTCTAGTTTTCATGAAATTTTTAATTAATGTGCTTTTGAAACAAAAAAGAACGATCAGTTTTCATGGTGAAATTAAAAGATAACAACTTTTAATTCCACTATTAAATCTCTTTAATTAACGGGCTTTTATAATTAATAACTTTAAGTTATTAATTTTATAATTAATAACTTTAAGTTATTAATTTTATAATTAATAACTTAAAGTTATTCATGAAAGTGCTCTGATTAAAGAGATGAAAAAGTAAAACAATAAAAAACTCAAAAACTTTTAGTTTAACAAGACGATTTTCATCAAACAGAAAGACAATAAATCTAACGTTACAATAAGTAGATATTTCTCAAAATCTCGATAGGATAAAGAGAACTGGAACTTTTATTGCCTACCAATAGACAGTTTAATGGGTAAAAGATTGCGTCGCAGCACATAAAAGAGCATCATGACCAAACGCTGTTGAAGATAAGAAATGATTGTTCGCAAAATGAGAAGCCGAATCATCAATCAATTTCAACTAAGACATCTTAACCTCAGCTGAAACATACGATGAAGCCAATAATGTGATGAAATTGATATAAAATTAACGAATTTCTGTTTCCGAAATGGAGTATCTTTTCGTCTCGTTAAATCTGAAGCTTTTTTAGAACTTGATCAAAGCACTTAATTCATCGTATGCATCACCAATACTGTACGCAAAAAAGCTGTCAGACTTCTTGATAAAAAGTACGCACAATGCTCCGTTAAATTGGAAGAAATTCTTGAATCATCTGAAAATTTAACGCTCGTTAGTGATGGTTGGAAAAATATTGGTGGCAATGACATAGTGACTTTTTATATGAAGGCACTAAATACGAAATTTTTTTTCTATACTTGAATCAACACACCAGACATAATTCAAAATTTTGTAGCTGTTGCTGGTGTTATCATTAAAGTAATCGAGACTCTCAACCCACAAAAGTTTAGAAGCATTATCACTGACAATGCTCCAGTAATAAAAGCTGTTTGAAAATTAATTGATGAAAAATTTCTAAACATCTCAACATATGGCTGTGCAGCACACGGTATGAATCGTCAAGGACATTTCGATTACAGCTGAAAGTTCAAAAACCATCATAGAAGATGAGAAAATTATCAAGTTTGTGAAAAATCATTACATTGTTAAAGCAAAGTTTGATGAAAAGAAAATTGCAGCTAATGTTCATTGGTCACTCAAATTGCCTGTTTTGATTCGATGGCTCAGTCATTTTTTTTCAATAAACAACTTTTGTATGGCAAAGTATGTTTTGATTCAATTTTCGGATAAAGAAAAAGGATCTTTGAAAGAAATTGCTCCATAAAACAAATTCGGCCGCTGTTTTGTCGCTAATTAAATCAAATGCTTTCTGGGATAGTTTGGCAAAACTTGTGAAAGATATTGAATATCCTTCTAACATTGTTGGAAGAATTGAAAATGATGATGCTCAATTATGTTTCGTGTATGTGTTATTTTGGTGAAATATTCAAGAAATTCGCAAATAAGGAAATTATTCAGGAAATGGTTATGATGCGCTTTAAATTCTTTATCACCTCGAATATGGGAATTGCCTATATGCTTAACTCAAGATATGCTGCAGAAGGATTCTATTTGGTGAGAATAAGACTGATATAATCAGTTCATTATCAGAATTAGCCTCTAAAACAAATCCAAAAGTTTCTGAGTCAGTTAAAAGTGAAATAATTGAATTTGTAAGAGAACACTGACAGAAAAAAGAAAAGAGGCAATTTTTTAAAATGAGCGCAAAGAATTATTGAAACATTGCTGGCTGTCAGAAAGATCCAGCAGACTTTGAAGTTGCAAAATCTACTATTGAAATGATTTCTTCTTTAGCAACAGCCGAGGGAACTTGATCAATTTTTCGAATTATTCATTCGCAATTGATTAGTTCTAATTGATTAGACAAACGAACGCGTAAAAAAAGTTAGTTTTTATATATACCAATAGTGTTTTGATGGATATAAATGATAAAAATGACTACATTTTAGAGGAAGAAGCGGTTCTTAGCGAGTTTGAGTTTGAAGAAGTTATAAATGAGCAAATGTAACATAAAAAAAAATTTAACTTGTTAAGTTTTGTGATATAGAAGTTCGTTTAAAAATCATAAAAATAATTTGAAATATTGACTTTTAATTCAAAATATTTCTTTTGATTTAAAGTCACCTGCGCATGATTTAAATAAAAAATTTCATCTATATTTGACAATATTTAACTAAATTCACATACCATTCATCAGTTAAATTTGTATGCGCATCATATGCATTTTATGGCATAATTATGCGCATAACTTTTGAATGGAATGCGGATATATTCGCCGATATGCTTATAAGTTCCGAACTCTAAAAATAACATTGAAACTTAATCGTGGAAACAATTACCGGAAAGATATATCATAGTGCAAACATTAACGTGAATCTGTGCAAGTGCGAACTTTGAAAGCTTAGAATAATAAAATTTCCATGAAAGCATCAATGCTCTGAAAATAAAAATTAGAATAAATTAATGTTTTTAGAAATACTAACATAACAGCTAACTTTTATGTAAAACAAGCCAGCACTTTTTTTCAACACTTATGTGATTATTTTTATAATTGTTTTGCACGCTTGCGCCACTTTTATGCAGCTTTTATATCAGCTCTGGCCGTAAAATGCCAAAAAAGCATCACAGTTGATGTACTCCAAGATTTTGGAATCTATAGTGTTCTGTGACAAGACCATTACATTTAGTTTAGATTCTTTTCGCAGTAACTTAAAAAATTTGTTTGCATTTATCAAGGTTTGCTTACCTTACGCAACGCATTTGCACTTGATTCAGTTTGCACTTATAAGTTTACACACATCCCTGTTCTCCTTTAAAAAAATTAGCTTTTAGACAATTGCCCCTCTCCCATTGAAACTTATGTTTGATGAGTTATTAAAACTATGTATTAACATCAACAATAAATAAGTATTCAGTTAAGTAGAAATAAATTTAGTTAAAAATGATTTCCAACACATCAAGGTCTGACAAAAACTAAAATTAAATTAAAAATTTATTCAAAAGAATTTAAGTTTAAAAATTTATTGCTCTAGGTCAATAATTCTTGATCACTGTGCGATGGCGCTTTATTATGTCCCCAGGTTTTAGGCATATCACATAAAAGTACTTTAATATAATATTTATAAGTGCGTAATGCCCAAAATTTACAAAACGTAACTTTTGAAACAGCCATAACCTTTAAAAGATACGCTAACTTACTCGCGGTAATTTGGCGTACCTTTTATTAAATAAAGATTTTCACTTCAACATGTTACCCAAATTTATATTTTTCAAGAATACACTTTAATAGTTTCAAAATGTGCCCTACGTTCTACAGAGCTCAAAAAGTAAAAACAGATGCAACTTTCCCCGATCTGCTCTTTAATATAAATTTGTCAATTTATACATTTTAAGAATTTGGCGACACAGTGGTTAAGCCACTGCTCTAGGTGAAATGAATAACAATCGTACATAAATAATAGGCAAGTTAGGATGCATATATTTGGGGCCATAGCGAAATTATATTCATAAAACATTTTATACAATAAAAAATGTATGTACCGAAATAATAAAGTTGGATTGCCTTATTTTAGTCAATTAAGTGAAAGCACCACGAGCTCGCATGTTTCAATAAAAAATATCAAGCAACGTGAGTTTTCTGATTGATTTTTACGCTTTGTCGTGCATAATATGTTTCAGTAAGTTTAATATAAAAATAAATTGTTTCTTTTTGAAGAAACTTAAATAAAATTAACGGAATTTAGATTAGTGATAATCAAAGCATTAGGTTTTTAAATAAAAGATTAGGCTCACAGAATAAAATTACAGAATAAATATATATCAGGGGCGGATCCAGGATTTTTCGGTGGTTAAGTTAACTTTCAGGTAAGTTCTAAACTCCAAACTTTTTTATGCTCACACTTATGTTATTTAAGAATGCTTCGCCAAAAATTGCGTTGATTAGGGCCTGGGAAAAAAAAAACCCTAAAGAGTAGGCATTACCTGGCCAATTGAGAGGCTAAATGATTTTTCAAAAAAAAAGTTACTTCCTATAATAAAATTCAAATGCATATCTATATTTAAAGTTTGATCAAAAAATCATTTAGCGTTTAAAAGTTATTGCCCTTAAGGTATAAGACCCCTCAAAATTCTTAAAAAATATATATATAATATTCTTAAAAAAAATATTTTGTGTATTTCTTACACGAAATTTATTTCTGAAGCCGAATTCGAAAATTCTTTTTTAAAATAAGACTTAGTTATTGAGATATAAGACGTTTCCTTTAACTGGGTAATCTTGATTTGCTTAGCAACACGTATAGCAACGGTTTTTTTTATAAGAATTGTCAGCTATTTAGTTATTTTTGTGTATTTAATAAAAAATTTTATAACAATGGGTAAACTATGCGTCAAACAAAGTACTCAAAGTAAAAAATACATAAGATTTCATGGAAATAGGTATACCAAAAATTTGACAAACAACTCACCTTTATCAGTAGTTCCTGTTAATAACAGTGTTACATGTTCTGAAAATTATTATCAATAATACTTCATTAGATTTATCCTCGAAAAAAATAGAAAAAATTGAGACATTAAAGTAATAATAAAACTGTTATTACTACTTTAATGTCTCAATTTTTGTTGGTTATCGTATTATTGATATTGAAATTTTATCTGGTGTAATAAGTCTATTATGTTGAAAAAATTGTTTACAATCTAGA